GAGAGAGAGAGAGAGAGAGAGAGAGAGAGGCGACAGATAATTACGTACATAAGAGTGATCAGCGATTCAAAGAGGCGATAATTAGAAGAGGGAGGAAAGAAACTCTCGACGGGAGAAACGTTCGGATGTTCTCCTTCGAGATTTGCATTGAGGAACGTTGCGCAACTTCTTGTCAGCGTTTCGGGGATGAAACTGCGTTTCCGTGTTTCGCGAAACCGGTGAGGTAACGACACGCATTTCAGGGGACGAGGGAGGAGGTGCTCTCGTGAAACTTACGTAAGTATAACGAACACTAACTATTGCGCCGCAGGTCGGCGCGTAATACACTTACATGATTATGACGGATAATAATATTGCGCCTAGTATATATACTGCAACACAGCGCGCGCTGTAACACGATAGCGTAACAATACCGCGCGAATACTGACGCATTAGCCTAATCTGTAAGACGGTGTGCCTCACGCGTCTCAAGCTTGTGTGTGTTAATATATCACAGTCGTGTCCGCAAGAACATACGTGTATAGTCTATCACGTGTACCTTATGTAATCTGGAATATCCCTTACATAAGGAGAGGCACTGTGGCGATTACAACGATTACTTCGTGTAGTTCAAGTAAATTTAATATTCGTTTCTTTGATAATTTAAAAGCATAATATTTGACACAGCTATATATATTTATATACGCAATATATTGTATACATATATAATACAATGAACAATATTAAGATTAAACATTTTTTTATTTTTCTCGCTTAGCACTGATATTTTATAAAAATTTTTATAAATTAATCTATAACGAAAATAATATTTGGCAGTTTAAATATTATAAATTAAAACAAACTCGATCAACTTGTAGTTTATTACAATTTGACTGTTGCAATAATAACTGTAAATGATATGACTGTTAAACTTCGTATTCGAGTTACATGCCTGATATTCAAAACAGTCTTTTGTTAAAATATTGAAAAATATATCTCGCGTATATTTAATTTATTATGAGTGTTATATAACAGTGTAAAACATAATATTTTACAGAGCTATATTTACGCGTAATATTGCATATATAATAAAAATTATTTAAATTTTAAAATTACTTTACATCATTTAGCTGCTAAACAATGAGTAAAATAACAATTTTAAAATTTAAATAATTTTGGTTACATATATGTACTGTATATAAGTACAAACAAACTCAATCAAACTTGTATAGTACATTGCAACTCGAATACAAGACCACTGCTAAAGGGGATAGCTGTGTAAATGATACCACTGTTAAATTTCATACATGCATTTTCGAAAGTACAGCAAAAAGCGCAACAAGAATCTCAAAGTGTTTCTCGTATCTCGAGAAGATTAAAGAGACTGACGGAGTACGATGTGGAAAATAACAAAAGTTACACGGTACGTCGGGATTCGCTCAACGTTGGCAGCCGCATTCATGCAAACTTAAACGTCGAAGAGCTCAGATACGTATTCTTCCCGGCGTCTCAGCACCGCAATATGCGAACAAGGGAAAGAGATAAAGCGGAAGAGACGCGCTCGGACATTGCATCGCTGGCATAGGACGTTGCTGGTTATCGCGAAAAAGCTCAGGAAAATCGGAGAGAGAAAGGTAGATGCAGACAGACAAAGGGAGGGGGCGGGGAGCAAAGTGTTGAAGAGAGAGAGGAAGAGGAGAGAGAGAGAGAGAGACGCAATCTAGAAACTCTCGGGAACCAATCTTCTCTGATGAAAATACCTTGTCCTCTGTGAGGTTTGATACCGCACCCGCGGGGGCCAATTTCGTTTGTTACTTTTTGGAATACCGCGAGTACGTTTGAATTGGACGGGGTCCTTGCGGGGCAGATTCCAGGGGAACATTTTGAGGGTACGTGCGGGTGAGTGTAGTCGACAAAGCAGGAGTAAGGAGGCGGAAAATGGATTGCCCCCTTAGCGCGTGTCGCTTTTGCGATCGGTTCTCTCGACGAAAAATATTGGTACAGCTTAATTAGAGGTTGAAACCACGTGCGAGAGCAATTGCACAAAGGAAAAGCGTTCGGGATGTTAAATTTCCACGAGACAGATAAAGCGTGTATAAAAGCTTATCATACTCTTTTTAATTGACACGGTGTGATTTGTACGGAATGTTAATGTCGGAGAGACAATTACAAATTGAAACTTGGAAAGTCGCAGTAAATCGCAAGTTCTCGAAACGTTTTCGCGATAGAAAAATGGATCTCAATCTCGTGAAAGAATATGTCGATAAAACTATCATCCGTTTACTCTAAGATGACCTGTATTTGCGGGTCTTATACGGATATTCGACGTGGGGTGTTCCGAGTCGAACATTTCAGAAACACTACGCGCGCTCGGCTATTACTAGAAAGGGTTAGATCGCCTGAGGGATCAGCAGGGGAATTTCATGCTGGTCGTCGGGTCTTCTGGGAATCTGCACTGCGACACTTACATTCTCACTATCCTTATCCCTTTCCATGTCGTTTCGAATCTCTCTCTCTCTCTCTCTCTCTCTCTCTCTCTCTCTCTCTCTCTCTCTCTCTCTCTCTCCCTTTCGCTGTCTTTCTTTCTCCTGTACCCTCTCACCCTATTCCGCTCCAGTCGATAGCGGCAGCGAAGAGAGGCGTCAAAGATGGATTCCGGTATCGGAAGGATCGGGAGTAGGATTTCTTACGTTATATTCCTGCCGCGAGCTATATGGGATATCCCAAGATTCGAACGTACTTCGCTATAAGCGACTGCTCCGAGTGAGGTTTCCATGAAAGTTACACCTTCGTATGATGTGGACTTTATGATCAACCCGCACGACGTTATACGTGTGCCGCGTACATCCGGGTAAAGAAAATGCAGCGTGGTACCCGGATATTACTTCAAGTTGCAAGAGGGAGAAGCAAAATCAACGTATAATGGTAATCGCGAGATTTTTAGCGAATGTCGTCCATGCGATTAGGGAGTAAAAATATCTTTGTTAACTCATCGTCTTCGTCGCGAAATACATATAGAATCCCACATATCGCATTCGAGAGAGATCCTGAGAATGTCCTTCCGACGTAGAAAGTCATCTGGATGTCTCGAGGGCGTCTTTTAAACTTGTACTAATCTATACGGGTTGACGATTGCTCAGTTTTATTTTAGCCAATGAACTTTACTGCATCGTAATTGGCTGAAACAGCCCCGGATAAATTAATGATGCGTCAATCCGCAATCTGATACAGGCATTAGAAGTTTATGCTGTACGGAATGTCATACTGACAATAATCTGTTTGTTATTTATTAATTTAGATCTGCTAGATTGTACTAGAACTCATCTCTTTCTCGCTTTCGTCAAATATCAATTAAACATATATCTATATATACTCTCTTTAAGTATCGAAAGTGTACACGTAGTTTAGCTGTAGAAAACAGACCTAATACTCTTATCGCGGTAATGTAAGAATCTGAATTCGTCGCGTCCGAGTTCTGCTCGATGCGCTTGGAAAAGCTTGGATCATGCGATTCACGTGGCGGAAAAACCGCAGCCGCGTAAAAGAAAATCGCAACTACGATTGGCTCATGCATTTTTCAGCGGTCGCAGTATTTGCTTGATCGGACGTTTGTACGTCCCTTCGACGTCGGGGCGTACCACTCGCCGGGTTCTGCGAAAGGCAGTACGCGGTGATAAAATGGTCGTATGCGAGAGGAAGTGTGTGCTCGAATAAGTAGCGCGGATAGAAAGTAACGCGTACTCCGGTCGCAAGTTCGCGACTGAAGTAAGAGATCGATCGGAGCCGTGCCCTCGCAAAATAGCGACCTATAGTATACCTATACCCTTCATGTTCGATCTGATCGCCACGAATCGTTTCTTCGCGGCGCGGCGGCGGCGCGGCGTGACGTGCGTGCCGAGCTTGATCGATTTCCCAAGCGAAATGTAACCGCTATTTCTCTCCTTTCCCGGTTCTCACTTTTCCATCCAACGTCCGCGAGAGCGTAATATGCGCCATAAGACTCTTCTTTAAAGCCGTAGTAAATTAGTTCGCGGTGATCTTCCTTTGATTGAATAGAAAAGGAGAGCGACAGTCTGCTTTTGTGTAAATGTCGTTGCTATTACTATTGCCATATTATTTATTATGATTGATATGATATTTAATTTCCGTAATATGTTCGTTTTATTTTAAAAGTTTATTCCTATTAACTTATACGCGAGTTTGAAACAGATATATTTATGTGTTAAACAAAAAAAACTTTCAATTGAATATATCTAGTTTTAGATATGTTTAAAATCGAAAGTTTCATGAAACCACAGAATTTAAAAATATTGGAAACCGTATAGAACTTTATTAATTTAAAGATAAAAGTATAAACTGAATTTATATGTATATGAAATCAATTGATTGAAGTAAAGTTTATAAAGAACTGTGAATTTAACTTACTCTTTCTTTGTTTTATTGCTTTAAATTCAATAACTATTTATATTCTTTGTGGAATAATAATAGCAATATGTATAAAAAGAAATTATAGATTCAGAATACATGTTAAATTAAATTCTTACAGGCTAGTACTCACCAATCACGGTCAAATTATACCGGAAGCTGCGCGTCTGACCCTTCCGAAAATCCACTCTACATCTGTACGTCGCCGCATCGTGCCGCTTTATATCATCGATCACCAGAACTGCCGGGCTCGGAAAAGACGTTCGGAAAAAAGCGCGTGGACCAAAAACGCCGGAGTCCGACGAGTGGTGCGCCTTCGTCACTGGCTTCTCTCGAGCATCGATTCTGTACATAATGAAACGAAAACATCCATTTTAGAAACTGTTAAACTTATAATCCAAGAATATAAAATATTCCATGAAATATTCCAAAATTGTAGTAACAAACATTATTTCATTATCTGTTAATGACTAACCGATTATCGAAAAATAATTTTAGCAATCGTTATCAAATTTGTAGAATAATGGTTAATAGACTAAACGGTTATTTTCATCAAGTTACATTTTTACAAGAGTAATAATGCTTAAAATTCTAATATTATTATAAAGATTATTCGAAAAATTTTTCAATCAGAATTGTTCAATTATTTCTTACATTTCAACTTTTTTTAAGAAAAAATGAGATAATTCCAATCGAAAACCTTTTCAAATGATTTCATAATATCTTTCCAGCTCCAATATTCAGGTAACTTCATAAATTAATAAACTGGTTAGCTTACAAATTAGATAATAGCTATGTTTATCAGAAGTCAGCGATTAGTAAATGTTACTTAGTAATTGTAATTATTTTTGTAATCGAAATATATTTTTAGATTCTTGGTAGATTTAAATTAATATATATCAGAGGCAATAATCATTAAAACCGATAATTAAGTTACTCTCTTCTAACAATGTTAGTAACTGTTTAACCGAATAGTTGTTTAAATAATTGGTTATTTTCAAACTACAGTACTGCTGTTTAATAAGAATAATCATTACATATAATATAAAAATATCTTTCATTTGACAAATCCTTTCTCACATTAAAAATAAGTTTGTTAAGATTATTTTGTTAAGATTTAATTTGTAACTTAAACATACGTTATCTTTTCTATGCTAGATCGACCTCGTACGATTTTCAAATTTTTTAAAATTATTTTACACTTTGCGTTCTATTCTTTAAGTTCGATACGGCGCCATTGTATACGGGTGGATTTCTTTTTCTTCCGCACAATTGTAAGACAATTACCAGAAGTTTCAAGAATTCACGGCACGATCGGTGGTATTCCGATATGTACATAGAAAACGATCGCACAATTTCCGGCCAATGAAATTCCAACCTCACGCAAGAAGATTCCGCCGAACGACGGCGGACAATGGGAATCGCGGGGTTGGAAGGGACGTCGGGGAAAAAAATCTGCATTGCGATTCATTGACTATCCCAACGAACCATGATAGTATGTATCCGAGTATTACCCGCTTACGAGCCCAATATAATTATTTCAAATCGATGGAATAATTATCGTGCGCGGTGCAGAGAATGGGGCGTGGCGCGTCCAGGTAGCCGGCGATAACGCAATTAAATCGCAGCCGTGTTATCCGATATTTTGAACGGACACCGCTCATTTCATCGATATCGCGTAGATACTAGCCTAGCTGAAGAAAAAGGACCGATATGCGCGATCGAATCGAATCGAATCAAATCGAACCACGCCGGCTGATTACAATGGATAATTGGAAAATATAATCACGCTGCTCGGTATAATCTACAGCATTTACGTTATATTATGGTTTAACGCTCGTGTAAAATATATGCGGACGTTTTGCGAAATTGAGCGACCGCTGATATGCGACACGAACGATTGAATTAAATTTCGATAGCTGGTTCTTTCTCTTTCTCTCTCTCGCTCTTTTCTTTCTTCCGGAAACTTCTTAATTTGAAATAAAGACGATAAGAAGATTCACAAAGATAGTACAATGACAGTAACATAGTGCGCGAAATAAATTTGCGAAATAATGGAAATCAAAGAAAGTACTGTAAATGAGAGGAAACTGAGGGGGAATAAAGAGAAATGTTCATAGTTGATTTTTGCCGTTCCATGTTTCGCAGTAATTCTGAAATGAGATTTTACGAGTGCGCGTTCAGCGATTCCCGTTTGACATTAACTGCAATTATATGCACGCGTAATATAGTAACTATATATTAATGGGACCGTAAAATTTCCCGGTAGCGCAATATCGAATCTCGTTTGACGTAAATGCAATGTCAAAAGCTTCCTGCCGGTTGAAATTATGTATTTTATTAACGAAAGTAGCGGTATATATATTATACGTTACGAAATTCACGATCAGTATAAAAGGAAAGTTAGTATTATTATTAATTTTCACACCCGCGCGCGCGCGCATGCGCGATTTAGCACAGGACCCTCTATCCCTATCGTCATAAAACTACTTTCGTCACAACGAATAACACATTATGTCGTCGTAATTATTAATAAAAGCACATTTCCTCTCATGACAAAGATCAGATTTAACGTACCACAATTATGTCTCGCAAAATACCGCGACGTTAATTACCACGTCATGTCTCTTGATATTTTGCGACATAGAATAATTCGCGCGATTCTAATGTGAGACTGCACGGAACGAATGCATTTGTGGGTATTGTGTTTAAATTTGGAACAGAAAAAATCGCATTGCACTCGCAATAATGTCTCGTACTCTCTTCTCGTGTTGAATGCGTTCACGAGGCTTATGCGTGCCAGCGCGCACAAGAGTTTTTATTCCTTTTCTTTAGATTTCGCACACATATATGAGGGACGCGGGGGATATTCGATGCAATGGATATGGCTAAGAAGTGGCGCGAATAGAAGGAACCGACGAAGACGAAGGGCGGGAAGATACGCGGCCAAGAGATGCAATAAGGAAATGCGTATCTTTCGTCTTCCTTTTATGTGCCGGCAGGACCGTTCCCTTATCCGTCGGCAGACGTTCTCGAGGAGCACTCCGGCGAAGACTCTCGATTCACGTCGACGTGGGCGCTGAGTAATACGGAATCGATGTCTGTTTTATGAAACGTTTTATCTTGCCGCGCAGCCAGCTTTCCAATATTTCGCTCGACTCTCGCCTGCCTCGTTCACGACCTTTTCTTTCGAACTATCGTTCTCCATCTTCACCGTTATTCTCTCTCGCTTCATCATGTTTTCCCATTATTTCTCATACGGCTACGTTCCGCTTCGATTATCTTTCCGAGAATGATACATACTTTTTAAGCCAATAGTAAGGAAGCAAAGGTACACGTTCCTTTAGGGTGTGTAAGCGATTGGATTAAAAAAAAAAGAATCAGAACGTAGATGTATATATCTTAGTATCAACATAATTTTCAATGTTTCGATAAGACAAAAAGACAAATATTTTCAGTGGAGGTACGACAATATTTTGATAATCCGAAAAAAAGTCAATAGAAAGAATCACTGCTTAAAAACGTCTTCGTACCACTTCCTAGACAATTTAAAGCCTTATGTATATATAAAACGATGAAATAATTTAAATAATAATATAAAAATATTAATAACAACATTCGCTAATATTATTATGCATAATCATTGTTTATATGTTAAATTATCCTTTCATTGATGAGGGATTTTTTAATTAATTTTGTTAAATATTGATTTTAATTTTGTGCATTGTGCTTGGCTTGTTGCTCTGTGTTATTTGTGTAAATTTAAAATGCTGCTATTATAGTATGTTTAATATTAATATTTTTATACAAATAAAATACACATAAATATATACGCACGTGTGTCGCCTGTTTGATAATTATTCTTGACAAGTATAAATTTCTCTCAAACTGTATCGATTTAGAAAACTTTACCAGAATGAATTTCAATATTTACTTTGTAATTAGAACGTTTATGAAATTTATATCTAATATGCAAATGTTTTCAAATTAAGAAAAAATATCTGTGGAATAAGGTTTTGTGTAGGTTTTATATTTGTAACGTAAAAAATTTCATACATTTAGTTAAATATCCTCAAAACAGAACGATTAATGAAAATTTTTCAAGATATTGACATGAACAACCTTTGTATCATATATGTATTAAATATGTACTATATATACCTATATATATATATATATATATATATATATATATA